AGGTTCCACATTAGGCATACTGACTTGGAGGCCGGAGTCCAGGTGGCAGCTGGATAAAGAAATATGAAGCTTAGGAGAGAAATCCAGTCCAATAAAAACTTTGTGGAGTCATCAGCATATCTGCATATCAAATTCCCTGAATAGAGAACATCTCCAATACAATGTAATTGAAGCATTCTTCTGACAACTAATTTTAGCTCACAAGCAGGGTTTCGAACCGGTTCAAACTACTTCAGTCATGGCTGATGAAGCAAAAGCAGAAGAGATCTGAATTTTTACATTTTGGGTGATCTGAAAGAGTAACAGGATGGGAAAAATTTTGAGTTGAAGCCCTGGATTGGGAGACTCGGAAGAGGCGTAATGACCCTGGATTACTGCCAGGACTGTGGAGAGCAACACACATTCAAAGATGCGCAGTTGGCTGCCATCTTTTAGCGGGACACCGCTGTTTCTGGCTCTGCTCAAAATCCGACAAGCAAGAGATTTGGTTGCTATGCAATGCGTATGCTGCCCTTGTTTTCTAAGCGGAAGATTAGGTTTCTAGCAGGGCTTCGACCTGCAATTTTTTGCATTTCAGTTACCATTCCAGTTCTCTCAAATTTAAAACATTCAGGTCTGTTCCAGTGTCACTACCACAGCCATGACTGAATTGGGAAGAATTAGTCCTAAGCCTTGCTCACAAGAAGGTCTCTGTGGGCACCTGAAATTAATTTTGAAGCCATTAGCATAGACAGAAGGCTAGTCAGATTGAAAACTCCCATGCAGTGGTATCATCTTTCCTAATTAGAAGCTAAGAGTAATTGTATAAAAGAAAAGGCCACCGCTTATTAAAGTAAGTGGACGATTTTGGTTTTGGGCTGCTATCTTGCTACTTGGGAAAATTCTAAAATTTATTACAGCCAAAGATGCAAAAGGCAGAAAGACACAGTTTGGTATCCTCATCAGTCACAGCACTCATCACTCAGTAAAACATGACTGGTATGCTTACCAGGTTTTAGAACCCCATATGCCAATTTCTACTTCTCATTCATTGCCCAGCTTGAGTTCCACCTGCTACATGAAGCTTTCTCAAGTCTGTATCACTCTGTGTCTCCTCTGGAATTCCAGAATCTTGGTAGCCATTCAGAGAGCATTCATCAAGCAGTGTTTTAAGATGTTCATTGTGTTGAAGTTTTGTCTCAAAGAGAATATAAGCCCCTCAAGGGAAGTGACCCCCACATCACACCCCCAGGCCCCAAACCCTCAGCACAATACTCTGCACATATGTAATGCCTCAGGAGTAGACATCACATAAATCATTTCAATCCAAAAGCCTAGCAAACTAAAATTTTGAACCTAAATAAAATACATACTATTGAAATAATTCCCTTTAGACATTCTGTGTGTTCTTAAAGTTCTGAACCAATATTAACCCCACTTTTAACAACTGTGGCTGATTTCGGTAATTTAGGAATAAATATTTCTAGTCAAGTGCAGGCAGGTAAGAAGCAGAAAGATTTCCTGAGTGGTGCAAATGGTTAACACACTTGGCTGCTAACCAAAAGACTGGAGGTTCAAGTCCACCTAGAGGTGCCTTGGAAAAAAGCTCTGGCGATCTACTGCTGAAAAATCAGCGATTGAAAACCCTATGGAGTACAGTTCTACTCTGACACATGGGGTCTCCATGAGTTGGAACAGACTGAACAGCAACTGATTAAGAAGTAGCACTCAAAAACAACCTTAAAAATTAACAGAAGTAGTAAGAAAATAAAATTAAATTTCTCCAAGAAAATAAGTGATACCCTTTAATTCCAGAGGCAAACACAAGGGAAAAGATGCACAGTGAAAGAAAAGACAAAATCTGTAGGTCAGTCTAGGAATCAGACAAATATGATTGGGGCAACACTGAGCAAGAGCATGATCTGGTGGACAGCAGGAACATTCCAGAATGAGGCTTCTGATGTTGTCATGCTATGGCAAACCAGCAATCTGAGTGAGCCAGAGTGAAGGGGAAGCAACCAGAAGAGGGTCATAAAAATTATTAAAGTTTTGACCATCAGAAACGTTGAGGAGAAAATGAACAGCCTTACTCAACCTAGAAAAGGACAGACCACAAACCATTGACAATGGTAGCTGGACGTTCTGCTTATCTACCAATAGAAGGAAAAAAGGAAATAGGTTTAAAAAACAGCCCCAGGGTCTCTCACTTACATGTAAGGAGGATTCCCCAACAGGCAGGCTGTGTGAACTACTACAGTATGGGCTGTGCAGAAGTCAGTGGAAGGCGGAAACAGGGTGCCTGGGGTAGGTGGCAACTCTAAGATGGGAGGGTTTAGGGGTGGGAACTGGTACCAGTGGTATCTCAGGAGCCCTTCCATCCTCATAATCCAGTGATTTCTTAAGAACATTGTTGTAGTGGAAAAACTACGAGTCTGTTTAAGTTTAGAAACAGAGTTTTATTACAGCGAAAAAAAAAAAGAAAAAAAAAACATCTTGCAAAATAGAAAACACTGTGCCAGAATAATCTGAACAAAGTGCTTCAGGGGCTGCAGTGATACAGAAGCTTATGAAGGAAAAAACCGCCTACAGAAGGTTACAGCTAAAATATTTTTGATTGCTTAACATTTACAAAGTTGCAGGTGACAGTCTCAGTTGACACCTTTGCAGGAGTTGGCCTCCTTTGCAAGGGTGGCTCTAGGCGACAGGATCTGGCGGACCATTAAAACCATGTTTCCTGGCATCTAGACATCTGCAGTCTGTGTTAAACGCAGTTACTTTAGTATTACGACGCGTGAGTTCTGTTGAAATATAAAAGGAATGAGTTTGTTGAAGGAACAGGATGATTGTAAGTGAAAATACTAAGTATTCTAATGCTTAAGGAGAGAAAAAGGGTTTTGATACAGAAAAGCTATGTTAGTTAGAACAAAGATTTGGAAAATTACAAGTATGGTTGAAGGGGCTTAAAGGAGGGGTATCTTCTTAGAATCAACTTAGCCACTTACAGTCACATGTTTAATACTATGTCTAACACCTGTACAAAGCTGGATAATCTCTTCTTAGAAACAGCCATTTTTAACCACAAATTTTGAAATAAGCAGAGCAAGGTGGGCAAAACCACATCTTTCTGTAGAACTGCTGGTACCTAGGTCAGAGGTACAGTGGAAAACTTTACAGACAGGCTGCATTATATGGCAGAAGCTACATTTAGAAATCTAAGATGGAGTCGCTTAGGACAAGAGGAGATTTGGCCTAGACCTTAGCCAGAAGTCCTAGTCTGTCAGGAGTCTTAGTTCTTGGAATGCTCTTCCTCAACATATAGTACAACACAAGTTCATAAAACCCAGATAACACATGCAATAGAAAGTTACACTGTTGAGAAGAGGAAGGCAGAAAAATTTCACTCCTCCTTGTTAATACCTATGACATTCCTATGTCCCTAATTAAAAGTCTTTCCACCTTATCCATTAATCGAGCTAATGCACACATCCAGGAGGTTAGAAAAATAGAGAATAAATGCAGCACTTAATGTACTTATAGCTGTCTGTCCCTTCACTAGGAGTCCCTGGATGCCACAAATGGTTAATATGCTTCGCTGCTAACTGAAAGGCTGGCGGTTCGAATCCACCCAAAGGCACCTCGGAATACAGGCCTGGCGATCTACATCCAAAACATCATCCATTGCAAATCCTATGGAGCACAGTCCTACTCTGATGCACAAAAGGTCATCATGAGTCAGAATCAACTCTACAGCAACTAGCAAAACTGGTCCCTTCACTAAATGATACTATCTAAACAACTATGCTATTTTAGTTTTTAAACCTGGCTCTCACTTCTTAATGCCATTTATTATATATAATCACCATCAGTACTTCTGCCTCTAAAAGTCTGATCCTTCTTTTCATTCCTTTAACATCAAGAAATCAGACCATCTAATTTATAAGAATTGTTTGTAAACTAAGAGTAAAAAGGCAAATGAGGAAAGTGTTTAAGCAACTTTTCTAAGAATAAAATTGCCAAAAATCCACGGCCTTTAAATGGTCTATTTTGGTAGTTTCAAACGCTCCCCAGCCCCATTCCTTCATAGTGCCTGACCATGTTCCAGAGAACTGATGTTGTTGGATCATTTAAATAATGTAATTGACCTTTGTAATATCCTATAGTGAAATTCTGCGATGTAAATGTAACTAAACATATTTCCCAACACATGTATTGATTCATAAACTTATTTAATGCCTCTGCTATTAACCTTCTCTCTCTAATAATAATATTATAATAAAAGCTACCATTTATGGAATTCCTCTTATGTGTCAGTTACCATGCTAGGCACTTTACATATATTCTTTATAATCCTACCATAATCATTACGAAATAAATAGAAACATCATCACTTCCTAAACAAGAAAACAAAGGCCAAGAGGAGTTAAGTAATAACTTCCCTAAGATCCCACAGCCAGGAAGTGCTGTAACTGGGAGCCATATCTAGGTCTGTTTGACTCAAATCCCACTCTCTACTCCGCAGGCACTTTCTCACCATGTCGCAGCTACTGGATGTCAACTCTGAGAATATTACATTTCCTTTCTCTAATAAAGTCTAGGATGATAATTCTTTCTCATTACAATTCAGGTCTCTCAGACTTAATATGTTTCTACCACATGAGTTAAAAATCCACCAAAGAAACACTATGAAAGGGTTTGCAGTAACAATATTTGATCTCAGGCAAAGTGCAATGTTTGCTTCTTATAACTGAATGAATATATCATGATGATACAGCTTTTTGCTAATTTTACATATGTCTACTTCATGCCACATTTGAAGAGAGTTAAGAACAACATGTCCCACCAAGCTGTTAGCTCGGAGAGTGAGGGACCATATTGTATTTATCTCTTTATACGTAAGGCCTACACATGGTAGACACCCAACATCTGAAGTATCTGAAACATTATGAACAGAAAAAAAAAAAGACTCCAGGTTTTGATTTTTTTTTTTTTTAGTGGGGAGGGTCTGCAGATAAACTTCCTACCTCTCGATCCTTGAGTTTCATGGCGAGCACCAACTGATGCCTGTGGTTAGTAAGAGCCTCCCGGTAATTTCCTTTGGAGAAGAATGCAGAGCCTAGATTCCCATGAGCTCGGCATTCCCCTGTCTGGTCACCTGAGTTGTTTAAAAAAAAAAAAAAGATAAAACTTCTTTAAGTTATAGCATAATTTATAATATATAATGGACATCTCAATTTAAGAACCACACATTTACTACCTAAGATTTCACTTGACTTCTTTTAGAAAAATTTTTTTTCTTCCACAAGTCCCTATGTGGGGTGTTATGGTCCTAGAACTTAAACCTCTGGACAAGAGCTGTTACTGTCATTATAACATGAAACTGTAGTCAGGAATTTAGGTGTCCTGGAAATGAGAGGTTAAAAATCTTGTCACGAACCAGCTGCTGTTTGAGTCTCCTCATCGCTCTGCTAATGACCCTTAATGCTGAAGAACCATCAGCTTGTTGGTTCAGTCATTTGACTCCAAACCTACTATAATAAGTTGCCTCTTAACGAGTATACTGATGGTAGATTCACTATACCCTTTCTCTTAACGCAATCCTACACGTTCCTTGAATAATCATCATAAATGACAATCATAATCATAGGCCACACTTATTTTACCAATGAGGAAACTGAGGCACAGAGAGTTTAGGTCGCTTGCCCAAAACCACACAGCCAGTAAGTGGCACAGCCAGGATTCTAAACCCAGCAGTCTGGCTCCAAAGTCCATGCTCTTAACCACTACTCAATACTGTCTCCTCCAACAAAATGATGATACATGTCAATGGAGGCAAAAATGAAAATTAACATGAAAAATTCACCTACCAATACTATGTTTTGGGATATTAAATCTGTAAGTCTAAATCTCTGAGGAGGGCAATGAGTGTGTTAATTCACATCTCTTAGCTTTTTACGGTCCTTGGTACCTTGTTATCTGAAAATCCCTAAAGATCTGAGTACTCTAAAACAGACACTGTTCTAGAAACACAATTTTCATTGCATATGTTATCCCCATTCATGTCAGGCTAATCAGCTTTGTTAGCTTCCTTTCTGCACTAAAATAAAGAAGAGAAACATAACTCTACCTAAGGTCTTGGCTACATCCAAGTCCTGTTGCATGTATCCAGTGCTCTTCTCTGTGTTCCCAAGAGACCAGTAAGCACTGCTCAGGGCAGAGAAAACGGAACCTCTCAGTTTGAGGCTGCAGGTGCCAATCTTCAGAGCAGCTTCTAAGACAACCACAGAGGCCCCATGATGGCCGGCCGTCAGGAGTTCCTGCCCAACCACAGATACAACCACGAAGGGACTCTTGTCCAGTTTCATTTTCTGAAGCTGCTGGTAAGTAGGTTCCAGGGAATCTGACAGAAAACAAAAGAATACAGGAAAATGGAGGAAGATACACAAAATCATATTTTCTAATATACTGTAGAAACAAATGTTTATTATACTTTTTATGGCCTATTTCAACTACAAACTCTTCAGCCTTTAATCCAGCACCACCCTAACTCTCCACTTAACCCGTATGACTCCCTGTTCCCAATCCCCAATCTAGTATTTCCTCCTCCTCGCTCTCGCATTCGTAAGCCATGGTCATTCTTGGATCAGGATATGCCACTTTCCCTGAATTACTCCCCCCGTGACCTGCTGGCCTCTCAGAATATTATAAGCACATCCCTCAAACACCACCTCTACCAAGTAGCACTCCCCAGATCCTGTAGCCAACATTACTCTTTCTATCTGAACTCCTACCGCACTTATATAGTTAGTATCACACAGTTTGGCCTTCAACTATTTTAGAATTGTTTCACATGTGTTAAATTTTATTTTTACCTTTCCTCGGCTAAATCTAAAGACCATTGTAGGACTCTTTTATGTTGTTGTTAGGGGCGGTCGAGTTGGTTCCAACTAATAGCGACCTTAATGTACAAGAGAACAAACCATTGCCCAGTCCTGCGCCATCCTCACAATCATTGCTGTTTGAGCCTATTGTTGCAGCTACTGTGTCAATCCATCTAGTTGAGGGTTTTCCTCTCTTTCACTGACCCTCTACTTTACCAAACATGATGTCCTTCTCCAGGGACTGGTCCCTCCTCATAATATGTCTACAGTACTGTTTTATACCTTATCATAACTCCATAGAATTGGCTGAATGTAGGCACTCAATAAAAAACTCGTCATTGCCACACAGCTGAAAGCCCCCAATGCACTGTCACTCAATAAATATTTGTTTAACGTGAATGTGAATGACTGATTAAGAAACCCCTAGAAGATGCAGTAAAAGAAGCTCTTACGACAAAGTATCTGTCATCTTCAGCAGCCACCTTCTGTGACCACCATGCCCAAATCAAAAAACTTTATCAATTTTTGCTGTGGTCATGACAGAAACCACTAAAAAATCATCCATGTTTAGTAAGGTAAGATGGAAGACAAAATTAATATTAATCTCATTTTATTTTATGTGGTATTTAGAAAGGACACAGATTTGGGGCCAGGTAGCCACAGGGAGATTCTTTCCATCTGAAGCTAAGTTTGAATGTGGATGACCTCCAACCTCTTTCTCCCCATTCTCCCTGTTCGTTTGTTTGTTCGTTTGTTTTAAGACAATTGCAGAGCTATTGACTGTAGCTCTACAATGAGGTGATACTTAAAATGCTTTTGTTATTAGCTTTCCTGAAAAACTATTTCACATTAGTTGTTCCACTGCGCATATGTAAAAACCATAAAAAGGTTGGGCTCTTTAAATCTTGACTCTCCTAGCCAACAGTACTGCATTAAAATGTAATTTTTACAATTTATGACTTCAAGTCTCAACTCTACTAAGGAGCTCTCGCCTGAATCAACATTACCACAGAAACCTCAAAACCTATGGCGCCTAAAGCATTTTTTCCCTTCAATCAGCTCACTAAACAGAGAACAAAGAACATTTTTACACCTGCCAAGATGCAAGCGAGAATTTGCAGTGCACAGTACCAGTAAACACTAACCAGTTCAGTTAAATGCAGGCACAAGAACACAGGATTGCTAGTACAGAGAACAACAATAAATACCACACTGAAATACTCCAAGCAGAATTTTGGTGGTATCCACTGATGGAGCTGGCAGCAATGATGATCACATCAGCATCCCACTGGCCAATTAGCAGCAACAAAAAATATAGAATTCTAGAGCTGAAAAGATCTTGAAAATCCTTTAATACTCTCATTTTAGAAATGAAGAATCTGAGTATTTAAGTGATTTGCCCAGGGTCAGACAGCTTGAGACAGAGCCAAGATGACAACCTACTGAAGCGCTCTAATACCATACCAGGCATGATTCTTAGTTGCTAGCAACAGAAACCATTTTGGGCTGGTTTTAAGTAGAATAGAAATGCACTGAGTACCACTGGCAAGAGTGGGAAACCAGGTCTCCAGGCCCACAGTCAAAGCCATGCCACAAAAGCTGCCTAGTGAAGGTAAGACAAGCACTGCACCTAAACAGATGATGCCACAGCTTGCAACGCTGCCCCACCACCACCGAAGGCCACCCTTGGAAGATGGATATCACTGTTGCTGCCCACCCCCAGAACAAATTCTGGGCTGTCCTTTAGCTCCTGATTAAAGTCAGGGCCCAGCTGCAAAGGAAGATGGTAATGTGAAAATCTGGTGTTTTCAGATTTATAGTGGAAAGTAGGAGGCAGGATAAGATGGGGAATTCCCAAAACAGAGAGAAAGAGTGTCTGACACTGCCATCCCAACCTGACCGATAACCAGCAAAGAGACTATGCTTCAGCTGGTGACTTTTCTCCCCTAGCAACCACAGCTAAGTTAGAGAAAGGGCCATCTGACCAAGCCTTGCAAACTATACACCAATGGTAGAAAGACGAAAGAACACTGCCACAGTTAGAGGGCTAAAAGGACTACCCAAAAGATTTTCAAAAGAGAAAGAAACATCAACGGTACAATTTTTCACTAGATGAACATGAAATTGAAGAAAAGAGAAGCAAAATATCAAATTTCCATTTGCAGTATATAGGAAAGAGAATACAAATGCATTAAAAGATAAATTATGATGCCGGCTAACATTCATGTTTTAAGAGTTTGTAAAAGGAACTGATCATCAAGGGCAATAGGAAAGCTTCATGGAAACAAAACTTGAAGAAAGGGCAGAACTTAGATAAGTCTGTTTTTTCCTAAGAGTGCAGGGCATGTTAGGCAGAAGGCTTGCCCTAAACAAAGGTGCCAGAAAAAGACAAGTATACAGAATGACAGGCCAGTTTGAATGACCAGAGATTATTTGTAGGGAAGGAAGCTGATGTGGAATAATGGCAAAAATACTGAGCTGAGCCCTTCAGACAAAGATTAGACAGGCCCATAAAATAAAACGAGACTAAATGGGCACACCAGCCCAGGGGCAAGGACGAGAAGGCAAGAAGGGACTGGAAAGCCGGTAACGAGGAACCCAATGTCTAGAAGGGGAGAATGTTAACATGTCATGAGGTTGGCAACCGATGTCACAAAACAATGTGTGTATTAATTGTTTAATGAGAAACTAATTTGTTCCGTAAACATTCATCTAAAGTAAACTAAAAAATATTTATATATACTGAGCTAAGGATAAAGAGACCTGGATTTCAGAGACACATAACCTCAGTCTCCTCATTCTGTCAAATGTATAGGTGTGATTATGGTAGTGGTTACACAAATCTATACCTGTGTCTAAATATGCACATGTATACGTACATACAGACATTATGTATACATATAGACATACACCCACACCCCCCCACACACATATACACACATATAGAAGGAGTCCCTGGGTGGTGCAAACAGTTATTGGCTGCTAACCAAAAGGTTAGAGGTACGTGCCTACCCAGAGGTGCCTAGGAAAAAAGGTCTGGTGATCTACTTCCAAAAAATTAGCCATTGAAAACCTTGGAGCACAGTTCTACTTCAACACATACGGGGTTGCCATGAGCTGGAGTCAATTGGACAGCAAATGGTTTTTATATTAAAAATCAAACCGTTGCTGTCCAGTCGATTCCAACTCATAGCGACCCTATAGCACGGAGTAGAACTGCCCCCATAGGGTTTCCAAGGAGCAACTGGTGGATTTGACCTGCCGACCTTTTGGTTAGCAGCTGAGTTCTTAACTACTACACTACCAGGGCTATATATGTAATTATGTCTCATTTGTCCAAGCCCCCTAATGAGAAGCACTGGTTAGCAGTTACACATGCTACTGATGAGTAAAATCGGTAAGAAATGTTTTTTAAAAATACATAAAAAATGTATAAGTTGGATTGAGTGAGCTCTAAGATTCCTTCTAATTCTACTATTCTATGATTCTAATTCCTATCCTAGGGTAAACTTAGGAAAGGGACTAATTTATTTATTTTATTAGGCTAAGTGGAACAGAGTTTTGGCAACCTATAGCTGTTAAGATGTTTTTCTTTCTAGAAGCTATGCATAATATACGGAACAGCCAATGTCAAACCAACTCTATAAGAACACAAAGGCCCTTTGCAAAATTGACTAGCACCTGTGATGTGCTTTCTAAATGTAAAGCCTTTAAGAATACAAAGGTGAACAAAATCACATGTCCTGAAACTTGAAGAACCTGTAGGCTTGTATGAAGCTAATATGTAAACAAATAATCGCAATGCATTCAGCTAAGAGAGAGACTATTATTTCATCAAGTCTGAGATGCACATTTATTCACATATTAACATCTCTGAAGTTGGGTTACTGTATCAGAACTTGATGGTGCCTCACAATGGTTCATTTTCTATGCCTAAGAAGGTTTTAAGGAGTTCTATCAGTATGTACATATGCATTTATATGTATAAAATAAAGTGATTAAAAAGGGATTGTGTCATCATTGACTCAGTATGTTTTTCTTTCTTAGCACTATATAAAATACCGGCCTGAATTTCAATCCATAATTCTTAGAATTGTGAAAAGATGCTATGGGAGCCAAAGGAGTTAGCATTCTCCCAGAGTAGGACTGGGAAGGCTTCCCGGAAGAAGTGACATCTGATTAGAAATTGGAGGTGTGAGAAACCACAGTGTTTTCCAGGAGTTGCAGGTGGTTTTAGTCGAAAGTACCTGGAAATGAGAATGAAAGGGAGGCAAGGTCTCACATACTAAAGGAGGTTGGCCTCTATCCTGTAGGCAATGAGGGGAAATTCAGAATTATGAATAAAGGAATGGCAGATCAGACTTACATTTTAGAAAGTTCACTCTGGAAGGAAAGCAAAGCAAAGCAAAGCACGAACTGTTGTGGAAGAGAAAAGCCAGGAAAACCAGTTAGAGGGAATACAGATGAAGTCTTATATTTGGCAATGACAAAAGAGATGGAGAGCAAGGGATAAATTTCAGACATATTTAGAATATAAAATTATAGAAATTGAGAAATAAATGAATTTAATAGAGACAATGCCTTAGTCCAAAGAAATGATACTCTACTGACTGTCTCCTATAAATCACCTTCAAGATAAGCTAATATTTTTACGGACATTAATCCGTCTTAGGCACTGTGGAGGCCTTCTGGAGCCTTCCAAGTTACCCTTATAACATTCCCCTAGCATAAGTGACCAAAAAGGCCTCAGCTTTCCGAAAAATCTGATGATATCAGTGACAATTATTCTTGGATATATCACTAAACTATAGCACTGAACGGCAAATCCAGAAGACTGGGAAAAACAATCCTGGAACAAATCTCTAAAACAGGGTGCCAAAGAGAGGACAGCAACTATGACGTGTGTGGTATACTGACAAGGAAGAAGGGAAAGTATCATGAGAGGGAAGTATTCCCCCAAAAAGCAGAATTGAGAAATAAGGTGCATAGTATTTGCTTAGTTTTTGATTTTAACCATTTATTGGGCTAAATGATCATTTTCAACATTCCCAGAACCTCTTAGATAAAAATATACCAACACTCTGGAGAAATACCGCTCTTTTTCCCGTGAATGGAAATACGATAGAAAAATACCGAAGTCAGAGTGAATGGAGAATAAGGGTCAAACAAAACTCAAGCAGCAAACAAGGCAGCACACAAAGAGGCAGACTGTAAGGCCCAGCACAATTCCTAGAGGTGGCAGCACACTGGACTCTAAGCTTCATAGTAGATAAAGCAAAAGGATACAGGATTGATTTCAAAATTCCCAGAACATTTTAGATAAAAATACACCAACACTCAGGAGAAACACGGTGTTTTCTGGCAGTGAGGCCTGAGACAATCTTCACCAATAAGTGTTCCTAAAGGAGACATGCATACTGTGCAACGCTTCACATCTACAGCAATGTGCTGCCATAAATACAAGAGTGGGACCAGCAATGTGGCTACGTTTAGTGAGAATAAGGGCATCGTACTGCAGAGGTGAAGACATCCCACGGGGAGCCTGCCTTCTCATTCTAGTGCTTGATTCTCAAAGCAACATGAGAAGATAGATAATACCATTTCCCTCTGACAAATAAAAACAGAGGTATGTAGAGAGAGGAAAGCAAGCTTGTTCAGTGACTGGAATGGCAAACAGCAGAGCTGGAATTAGGTTCCAATCTCTTGGAACAAAAGCCTATGTTTTCAACATACCATTGCATGAACAGGCCTCCTGTGAAAAGTGACCGACACCCAAAAGAGAATCAGAGGGAAAGAGTGCATGGAGCGTGGACAATAGGTAAATAAAAGGTGAACCCAATTGGACCCTGAAAGAAAAGCTTATCCATTCAACAGCCATTTTCCATCAGCAGTTCATAAAATCAGCTTCCCTGGATTCTCTGGAGCTGGCAGAAACACCACGACAGGTGATAGCCCATAAATGTAATAGTCTTTAGATTACTAAATTAACGGTAGGAGAGAGAATATACACAAGAGACCCCTAAGCAAGAAACAGTCCTGGCGTCTTTAGAGGAACAAATAAAGGTAAACTCAATCTCAGTTTGTAATTATATTATGAAATCCACGGTTGGCAGCAGTAGTATGCTACAGCATACAAATTTGCTTAAACATCTATAAGATACTATGAACCAAACTGCTGAAAGACTATCTAAAAAAGAGAAATGGAGAAGAGTAAGAGGATAAATTAAGTCATGAAAAAGAGATGCTCATTTTATACTTATTTTTTATTTTCATTAATGATTTAAGGGAACTACATTATATATAATAATATAAATATATCCAAAATAGATCAACTGATATCTGGTTTGTGAGCATGAGTGAAAGCATACAAATAAAGCAAAACAGAATTAATTCCATTAGAAATACAGAAACAATAAAAAAATACAAATGAGTTTCAACATGGATAAACATAACGCATGTCTAGGGAACAAGTACATATTAATATAGGTTGGCCTTGCTTAAAAAAAAAAAAAACTTGAAACTTCCAAAAAGATCAAACCACAGGAACACTGTACACATTGTGGAAGCTTTGTCTGCTTATAGACACACCTGGAATAGGGAGTTTTTTCTGTTGCATTTAAGTATTACAAAACAAAAACAACTGCAACAACGGATCAGACCTGTATGTAAAGCGACCCCGACTTCACAGCTATCCAACGATGGCAGAAACTTCAAAAGCTGCAGGAGGCTCAGAGAAACGGTGGGTAAAAATGGGCAGCAAGTAATGATGGATTTTGTGAATTACACCCATGTGACAAGAAGAGAGGTCATTAAGATGTGGGATGATGCACAGAACAACACTGCAAAGCAACAGACTCTGTAGAAAACACTGATAAGATATCCCACCCGGAATAGTACAGTGGTAAAAGTATGCTAAAAATAAATGAGATAAATTGCCTTAAGGGAAGAGAAGAAAATATTGAAGTGCTGCAGGCATCTGTAAGAAGCTGCTTTCTCCAGCGTTGGCCTTAGGTCACTCACCATAAGCGGGGAAAGAACACAGCACAGAAAACCCTAAGGGTGACAGCAGCTCTGAGCTGTTTCTCGAAGTACAGGGAAGATTTCCTTATGTTTGTCTAACCAAAGTGTATCAAACGCAAAACGATAAGTATGATTCTGCTGATCTAAACACATTCACTCTAATATTCTAAGGCAGCAGCAGAAACACCTCAGAATAAAGAGGTATTATCTTCATAAACTAAATACAAAATGTTCCATGTAAATTCCTTGCAGGAGGGGCCAGGAAAAGACTGAGAAAATACTACAAAAATGGAAAGGAGAAACAGATTGATTCTTTTCGTTGTTGTCCATTTCCCCTCAAGCCCTGGAGCTCCAAAGAGCATGTGCTCCAAGTCAGAGTTTATTAACAGCAGGTCCCCCAGTGGGAGAAGCCATTAGGTTTCTCCAGCAAAGACTCAGCCTTGTACAGGGTTATAAAATTGCATGAAAGAGGTTTCCTCACCACTTTTTCCCTAAAACATGAAATCCCCAACTTTCAGGAAAATATTTTTTTATAGCTATGAATTGTCCAGAGACCATATGAGTACCATTTAGTTCATCAAGCTTTGATTTAGCATATATTTAGATCCAAGTACAGTACTAGCTACCATATTAAAACTATCTAACACTGCAAACATTTTCAAAACTAGATAAAATGTCTAATGATATGTCCATCAAAAATTTTAGGATCATTCTCCTTTTTGAAAAATTCAAAAACTTACCATTTCAGAGACAAAAACAGAGTTCTGCTTGACGTAATAAGAAACATTAAAAGTGTCTACTATTTGCCATGATCTGTCTTAGTCTCTATATCTCTCCCCTAAGATGACAACTGGTGTACACCTTCAGCCCAATCTTTCCAAGAACTCACCCCTCAATATCAGTGAAGCCAATCTGTTTTGGGCTTTAAATGTCCTTCAACCTCTACAGTACTGCTTTTCAAGAATACCAACTGGTATACCCACTGCTGTCGAGTCATTTCTGACTCACAGCGACCCTATATGACAGAGTAGAACGGCCGCATAGGGTTTCCAAGGTTGTGAATCTTTATGGAAGCAGACTGCCACATCTTTCTCCAGTGGAGCAGCTGGTGGGTTTGAACTGCTAACCTTTACACTAGCAGCTGAGCACTTAACCACTGTGCCACCAGGGCTCCTTCCAATTGGTATAAGGTGAAAGTAATAACAGGGAGAACAATTGTAAAAGAGTATCTGTCTGTCTGTTTCTCTCATCTTTTAATTCAACTGAACCTTTTAATGCATCTCTGAATAATGTTAGACACAGCCTATAGTTAGAGCCACATCTTTTCATGAAATATTAGAGTATGTAATGTCTTCTCTGAAGGTTTCTGGGTGGTGCTAACAGTGTGCACTTGACCACTAAAGACTGGCAGTTCGAACCCACGCAGCAGTGCAGAAGAAAGCCCTGGCTATCTGCTTCCATAGAGACTACAGCCAACAAAACCCTATGCAGCAGTTCTAATCTATAACACGTAGGGTTGCCGTGAGTCAGAATCAGCTCAATGGCAACAGATTTAGTTTTGGTTTTTTTAATGTCTTCTCTTACTTGATTACTTATAGAAGGCATACTGGTCCTCCAGGGCAAAGCAATTTACTATTGGGGTATTGTGATTTCAAATTACAGAATCTTAGAACTAAGACAAACAGATTGGTTATTTAAATAGCCCAAAAATCCAGAGAGGTTGAGTCATTGGTTAATAAAAATTCAAGAATATAATCTAAGTCCACTAACTTCCAATAGCCTTTCCACCATCCCCTTCTGCCTCATTAATTCAGCTATCAAAAGTGATTCTTAATCTTCTTTTGTCTAAATATCAGATCTTGGCAAATTTGATAATCAATTCTCAATGCTCAAGTTGAGAGTCCTGGAAGACTAGAGATGTTCTACTTTAATGTCAGACTGTGTACTTTTATCATATTTACCTCTCATGGGAGATTTCATAGCGGCTTCCACCATGCCCACCAGAAGCTGGAGACTCTTGGGGTCCTGAGCCAGCCCAGATGCAAATGCAGCCAGGGCATCGGCATGACGTCCGAGGTACTGGAGGGCAACACCCTGTCGGAAGTATGCCTGGAAATCAAGGAAAGATAACGTATGTTTTACTTATTGCAGTGTGTTCCAGCAAAGCTAATGTTGATTCTGTATAAGAACAACAGGCCGGCAGAACTGAGACTGAAGATGACCTTTGCTGAAAAACCTAGTAAACAGTTGGTAGTCAAATCTGATTTCTTCTACCATTATAAAATGCAAACATGCTTCTTCCAGGCAATTTATATTTAAAATTTTCACTCTTTTCTCTTAGTAATATTACTACATCCTTTGGCATTTATTCACATATTGCTTTTATTGTTTCTCAATGATCTTAAAAATATGTCTTAACCCACCTTTAATAGCATAAGCTCCTTAAGGGCAGGGTTTGCAGATTTTTTATATCTCACCACGGTCTCTGCTACAATGCAAGATATATGAGAAATACTCAATTTTATATTTCCCCCTTATATAATTAAAGGGAAAAAATCAATGTATAATTATTATCAAGGTACTTTTAATAATGAATAACATAACATGGCTACATACTTTTAATTTTGTCTTTCAAACATAACATTTAAAAGCAGTTATCTAAAATATGTGTGCTTTACTTAAAAACAAGATTGTTGTCCTTTTTGTTCTTTAATTGGATTACTTTAAAAATAGTAGTATCATCTGTGATTATAGGAAAACATTCTTTCTTCTGGCTAATTGCAGAAAAGGCCAGAGAACTAACAAAATACTTAAATTTTATAATAGTTTTAAGAAAGTACAGTTTGTTTTCAAGTACACAGAGTAAAGTCAAATAAATGAACAAAGTGTTGCTACTATGTTACCTGCAAAGCACTTTGTACCTGATTAAGTAATAAATAAAAATGATACATTATTAATGAATTAATTGTTTATATGACAACATTTGCTTCGAAAATGCTTGGCCTCCTATTTAACTTAAATACTCTTACAATACTGTTAATAACACAAACTTGACTTTTTCAGCCTAATATACTCTGAAATTATCACAAACTGTATTCATGAGATCTCAATGAACTCTTAAACTACTAAATACACTTAATGTACAATTTTATTTTATACACATTTGTACACGCAGAAAGAGCGAGAGAAAAGCACCTTTCACATTTACAAAACATAATTATGTACCTTATCTTATTTCATTTTTATAACTACCCTTTGAGGTAATTCAAGATAGGCAATACTATTCAGTGTTTCTATTAAGAAACAATCCGTAAACAGAATGAATACTCCAATTATTATGGGCTATTCAGGCTTCTATTAGTTTAAACTACCAGCAGCTGTTAAAACTCAGACCCCAGAAAGACAATAACCTGCAAATGCACTTTCATTACTAATTCATAAGATTACTTCCTTTCACTGCACTCAGTCACTGCTTTAATCTTTAATGTGTTTACAGGCATTTTTTACTACCCTTTTCATTTCATATTTTAGGTGGTTTCTATAACCCATGAGGCAGTACATGGTACACGGCAACTAAAAATAACTATACATAATTCTAGAAATGCTAAAGCTAAACTAAAAAATTATAATTATTTAAATCATAAAAAATAATACATATATTTATGTATATAAATATGCCAAATACTTGTAAACTGTAAAAATAATGTAAACTGTAAAAATAATGTAAAAATAATGTCAGTAGTTATTGATTTTAGGTGTACTATAAGAAACACAAGAATCTTAGTCTCAATGAATTTTTATAACTTCTTATATATTCAAAGTAAAATTTTATCATTAGTTACTTTATTGAAACAGCAACTGATTTCCCTGTATGTCAAAATGAAATCACCAAAAAGTATGATTTATGTACCCTTTAGGAGGCAGGCAAAGTTCAGTGTCAAATAAAAGCTCTGGTATCAAATTCATACAGCAGCTCTCGAAGAGTGTGCATGTTTTGCTTTCTTAGAATACTCAGAATTTAGATGAGAAAAGGCAAGACAGGGCCATGCCCCCTACAATCTTTGCTTCCTTTCATTAAAAACAAGTATAGAAGAGGAAGCTCAACTGTCTCCTTTAGTCCTCCCGCGCGTCCTTACAAAATTCCCAACTTTATAAGATTCTCTCAGTTAAAAGCTTTGAGTTGTCTCCCGGTCAAGATAGCATGAGCCCAGATGTAACAAACCCCTGCACCAAATCCAGAGTGGAGCTCTCCCAGCTTTTTTCCATGCAACGTTCACTGAATGTACAAACAGCTGCTGAATAAAAATTAGTTGATACTTTTGTGAGAGACAGGCCACTATGGAGTTCAAGCTGATGATGACAAAACCTAGATTGTGGGTTATTGGGATCACATAAATAGCATTCAGCACAGTGCCTGACGTACAGTAAGTACTCAATAAAATTAGCTATTTTTATTATTTTTAGTTAATGTGAAAAGAAATCATTGGAGATTTAGAATATAACAAGATATAATTATAGACCAACCAAATACAAGGGGAGCCCAGTAAATATTTTAAATATCTTACTATTCAATATAATATTGCTCAATTCTTATCACTGATCCATTCACTCCTCCCTTTGCTCCTTAAAAGACGGGAGACAACTTGGAAAGTACATAATTGTGCCTCCTCATTGTTGTAAGGCTCTCAGACAAAATCTGAACCACCTGACTAACAGACATGAGTATCATCAGATATTGGGAGATGTAGCAGCCATGCCTTTGCCAGCCTCCTCCAAAGCAAAGGTCAAAATGTACTGGGATTCACGGCTGTTTACTATAGCTTCAAGTAAATAGATGGACCTGCTGCATCCTGTCTGCTTCTCCCGTACTGGTTCCTGATACTAATTGTTCTCATACCCACCATCCCAGATTTCACAGGAAGTGGCTTCATCTGGGAGAGGGGCAAGATTGTGATCATTTAGGATTGCGCAGAGGCCGTGTATGTCCAGTATGCCAAGGCAAGTTGGAGCCTCTGAGTGCTGAACATTCGGTACCCATCCAACCTCAGATCATACACCCTCCTCTCACAGGATCCCCCAAGCGTACACCACAATCTGGTCACTGGCTATGTAGTATGTAGAGGAGGAAGGACAACATGAATTGACTACTGACTATATTAATTATACCCTGAGAACAACGGTTTTAACCTGAAGTTTTAGCCAGCAAGAAGAGAAACTTACAGGGAGCTACTTAATACACTGGGGTGACAGATGGGATGCCTGGGTTATCAAGTGTTTCATAGTCATTTATATTTTGTTGCTCACCACAAAAAAACCCACAGTGGTGATTCCACACATCCTACTAAATGATTGCACAAAAAATATAAAGATGACTGGTTATAGGAGTAAGTTTCCATCCCTTCCTTCCTTCAATTAACATTCCCTAAAAATCTACAGTGCCAGGTATTATGATGGGCCTAACAAATACAAAGAGAAAAAAAGACAAGAATGGTACCTTCGAGTTGCTCACAGTCTAGAGGAAAAGAACATATAAAGCTATCAATGCCTTGATGGTAGCATAAAGATCTTGATTGACTACTTTGGTGAGTGGCATCTGGGGTCTTAATAGCTTGCAAGTGGCCATCTAAGATGCATCAATTGGTCCCAACCACCTGGAGTAAAGAAGAATGAAGAACACCAAAGACACAAGGAAAGTAGTAGCCCAAGAGACAGAAAGGGCCACATAAACCAGAGACTTCATCAGCCTGAGACCAGAAGAACTAGACGGTGCCTGGCTGCCACCAATGACCGCCCTGACAGGGAACATAACAGAGAGTCCCTGATGGAGCAGGAGAAAGGTGGGGTGCAGAATTCAAATTCTAGTAAGAAGACCAGACTTAATGGTCTGACTGAGACTGGAGGAACCCCGGAAAGCATGGCCCCTGGATTCTCTATCAGCCCAGAACTAAAACAATTTCCAAGGTCAACTCTTCAGACAGGGATTAGACTGGACTGTGGGACATAAAGTGATACTCGTGAGGAGTATGCCTCTTAGCTCAAGTAGATACAAGAGACTAAGTGGGCAGCTTCGGTCCAGAGGTGAGATGGGAAGGAAGAGAGGGTTAGGAGCCGGTTGAATGGACATGGGGAATCAGGGGTGGAAAGAAGGAGTGTGCTGTCACAGTATGGGGAGAGCAATTAGGGTCACATAACAATGTATGTATAAATTTTTGTATGGGAAAAAGTAAAAAAAAAATAAAGATCTTGACTGATAGCTGTAGTAACTGCTTACTCATAGTAAGGGTTTGTAATACTTCAGCAAGAACAAAAAAATATATAACTAATAACCAAAGTATTTAAGCTGTTATTATAATTCTTGGAGCCCTGCTGGCACAGTGGTTAAGAGCTCGGCTGCTAACCAAAAAGGTTGGCAGTTAGAATCCACCAGCCACTCCTTGGAAACTCTATGGGGTAGTTCTACTCTGTCCTAGAGGGTTGTTATGAGCCAGAATCAACTCGACGGCAATAGGTTTGGTTTTTTTGGTTATTACAATTGTTAAAAGCCCTTGTGGTACAGTGCTTAAGCACCTGGCTGCTAACTGAAAGGTCTGTGGTTCAAATCCACCAGCTGCTCTGCGGGAGAAAGATGTGGCAGTCTGCTTTCATAAAGATTACAGCCTTGGAAACTCTATGGGGCAGTTCTACTTTGTCCTATAGGGTCGCTATGAGTCGGAACTGACTTCATGGCACCTAACAACAACAACAACAATAAATAGGGTTGCTATGAGTAATTGACTCGGGGGCAATGGGTTTTTTGGTTTATTATAAATGTTTAGCATTGTCTGCTTTTTTAGGTGGCCATTCCTCTCATCCCCGAGGGTTAAAGTAAAAACACTCAAGGACTAAACATGTGAAACAGTATTTTTTTCACCCATCAAGTACCCCTGGAAGCAATGAAGAATGTGTTAAGTCTTTACTTTCAACACTCTATTCCTGGTTCATAACTCCAAAACATCACTGAATTCAACAATAACCTATTGTACTACTGCCCCTTGGCTCGAATGAGTAATGAGGTAAACTATTATACTTATAGATACATGTGTATATTTATAACATACAAAAATATATAA